ATAGACTGGATTAAGGCAGCATTTTTTGGAGGAACAGAATGGAAACCCTGCAAGTATCTGGCATTAGCATAGGGGCTGTTCATTATAACTAGGAGAGAGCTGGCGTGAACACCTCCTTCTGGGATAGATCATTCCATTACCTCACTGACATTATAGCTGAGAAACATCTCTAGAGAGAATAGTTTGTGCATAGATTTGGCAGGAAGTAACAGAGCATTTGTTTCTACCTAATTCAGGTTGAAGTTCATCCTGTACTAGCAGCAACACTTCACCACCATCTTGTGCTTTGGTATGTAGCTGTGTGAAATGAAATGGTGGTGTCCATCTACTTCTCCAGTAGTGCATGCTTGCAATGCAAAGGTTCTTCTATAGAAGACAAGAGAGCACAGCCAGAATTCAATACAAATTAATTGCACCTAATTAATTGCACCTAGGAAATCAGCTCAGATGCAGAGATATGACAGGAGCCTTAGCAATGCTCCCTTCTTAAGGAGGGAAATGCAACTGTGGAGGAGGATCTCAAACCTGGCTAATTGTTAAAGAAAAACGAACAACTCAAGTATTTTAAATAATTGCAGACTTAGCCATGTCACTGCCTCAATCCCAAGTAATGCTAATTCACCTGAGTTTCCCTTTAGCTGAGGGGATGCCTCCCAGTACTCTTATCCACACTTCCTCAACTCTCTTTGATCCTTCTCTTTCTAATAGTAACCCATGCTCAAAAGTGACAGAATAAGTTCTAAAGAACACTGTTACAAAGCACCAACCTGGTGTATGGGGGATCAACAGCCACAGTATGGCATCTACTGAAACAGGGACAGCTGAAAAACAACTGAAGGGTTAGTTCTCTGGTTAAGGGTTGACTGCCCAAAGACATCAAAACTCAGGAGCCCCTTCTCCTTTCCTCCACTACCTCCTCTTCATACACATCTGCAAAGCTTTATGCAGCACCTTCCTCAGGGGCTGCTGCAGCTGCCATGCTCCATTTCCCACATCACTCCTTAAAGATTTGTTCTACTTCTACAGCACACTGCCCTCTGACACCTGCTTAAGATTTTGCTCCCTTCACACAGCTGATGAAGTTAATCAATTACTTGCTGATGAAGTTAAACCAGCTGACCAGAGAATCCAGGTTTTTTGTTTTTAATAGTAAATAACAAAGAGTTTTGTTCAAAGACTTCAGCTGTAATTTATTTACTTTCCCAGTTCACCCTTGGTTCCTTTATCACAATGAAGGCAGAGATAACATATACCTGTTTTTTCCTGTGTTGCAAGAGTCACACTATGTAACAGCACATGTTGCTTTCACAAACCACCATGTGATGCTTCCTATTTTCTGTTTCATTGTCTTTTTAAAATTAGGTCAGTTACATCGGTTTTATTATTTTCTATAGACTATTCCAGTCTTTTCATCATACCTCACATGGCTTTAATGTGTGCTGCAGTTATCTTTAAGGAGTGCCATTTGCACAGTCACCCTTCACCACCAACAACCCCAAATTTAGACATAAGGGAGAACTTTTTCTCTCAGAGAGTGGTCAGGCACTGGAATGTCCTGCCCAAAGAGGTGGTGGAGTTGCCATCCCTGGCAGTGTTCAAGAGGCATCTGGATGATGTGCTGCATGATATGGTTTAATGCTAGTGGTGGCAGTGGCGATGAGGAGACGGTTGGACTGGATGATCTTATAGGTCGTTTCCAACCTTGTGATTCTATGATAGCCAAGAATGGACCAAGCTGCACAACCTCTCTCTGATTCATTCTACTCTGTACTCTTGGCTTTATTGAGAGGATTAAACCTGAGCTGCACACTCTATGTTCATACATCATTTGCTGTGCATTGATGTTGTGACCACAAATATTGGCATGCTGTCACAACACAAATATAAGAAGATAAGACTGATTAGACTGAGAAAAAGATCCATCGAGGTCAGTATTCTGTCTCCAACAATGGCCAAAAGCAGATATTTAGGAAAGAAAGGAAACATAGCAGGGCAAGCACACAATGCCTCTCCTAAGTATCTTCTTGGCTTCTATTGCAACTCGGGAACTTCAGCCAGAAGTCTACCAGCCTGGTATTCTTTTCTTAACGAATTCATCCAGCCTTCTCCTGAACTCTTTCCTATGCTTTACCTCATACCACATGTAGACTGAATAATGCTACATGGTAAGTAACATGAATACACAATCAAAATGCCATTCAGAAACATCAGTTCTGGATAGAATCCCATTTTAAGTGTAATATTTATAAACAACGTGATTTCATTTTTTTTTTTTTTTAATATGCATAGGGCTAACATCTGAACTAATCAAAACTATTTATTACTGCCCAGATGTAAGTAAACATATTAGCATCATGAAAGTATTTTCCTTCCAAATTTCAGGTTGTGCTTTTAGTCTCTCCTACTCCAATTCTTGTTTCATCAGAACTGTTGTCAGAATAACCCTTATCCATGCTTCCTCCCACTGTCAGAAAACAAGGCAGAAGAAAGTCCAAGAGAACAGCCCAGTTTCCTTGTACTCCCAGATGGCTGGCTGGGTATCTAACACCATGCTCCTCTTTTCTTGGACAGCTGTATCAATTCCCAGCCCTTCTAATTAAATACAGATAAAAATAACACAAATCTCTCCACGTTCCTCACAGTAACATTTAAACTGAAACATTTTCAGTACTCAGTACTTCATTTTCCATGGTGCCTCGGATACCGGTTATCTCTTCAAGTAAGTTGTTACTAAACAAGCATCAACTTCCTTTAATGAGATCTGTTACACTGGAATACTTACATTTGCCCAGACAAAAGGAGGATGCTTGCTGGAATCCATTTTGAACTTTATGCCTAGTTTCTTACACTATAGCATGCATTTTCCTTGACTACTACTTTATACACTATTTCTGTGAGGCCATCCTGAAATGATAATAATGCTCAGGTTATTAACTAGTTATTAGTTTGTTTTCTCCAAATTCTCAATGCAGAATATAAATGTGGTTTCAAAATCCATCTCTGATGTCATGGGCCAGCATAATAAAATAGGAGACATTACTTTTGGAGCAGTCCTTGTATAATTCATCTTTTATACAGTAAGATCATTAAATGTTGAAGTTCAGTATGAACAGCAAGCTAATAGAACAGAAGAATCAAAGGATGGGCTGGGTCTGAACAGTTAACCCAGGAGAAGTGGTTAGGAATAGTTGCTAAATGTTCTATTTGTATTAGAAATTTGCCACAGCTGTTAGCACAGAATTATACAGACACACACAGGGGAAGATGCACCTTATCCAGAAAACGTTGAGTCATGTACAAAAAAACCATTCAAATCCCTGATTTATAGGAATGGTACTTCAGTAATTTCACCATTACACAGGTTTCTTTGCATGGGGACACTTAGGTTGACTCAGACAACAGCCAGCTAATGCAGGTAAGATGTCCTGTAAGGCAACGTGCAAGTCTTACAGCTGACTGCATAAATACTGCATCAACCACCACGAGATCTTTTCCTTGGTGGATCTTTGCAAGGCTCAGCTCATCATGTCATGGAGATAATGAGAAGTAGTCCACGCATGCAGAATAAGCAAATCATGCAAACAAAAACTAGACTCTGGAAGTTTCCAGAGCTGTCTTTCCAACTTCACCCATCTACCTTTCAGGTGCTTTGCTAATCATACTTAATTGCTGTGAAAACACTAAGGCTGAAGCTGCAAAGCACTCAGTAGAAAGCTGCTCAGAAAAGGAAGCAACATGATCATTGAGTGAGGCCAAGCAGCTGCAACCCAACATCACTCAGCAAAGGAGTCTATTAATGCCAAACAGATGGGAAAAGAAGCACTCAGTTTAGCTTCACTTCTACCACAGGGTTAGAAGATCTATTATTATACCCGGCTCTCAAGAACCAGAATATGTAGTAACTAGTTACTGATCTATTAGATACACCTACACAACAAAAACCACCTTAACAGACAACTATGGTTTGTAACATCACCAGCTTGCATTTTGTATAGTTTAGTAGTAGGCACAGCCTCACGTCAGCCCAATAGTTTTTGCCACTGCTGTACTACTACAAGAGATTGCCTAACCAGAGATAGCTTTTTATTCTTTACAGCTCTTTTAGGAGAATCCACTTTCATTTCTCTTTCATAGCTGGGGACCACAAGACGTCCAAATGCTCTTAAAGAATAAAGCAGCCTGTAGTAGATTCACCCAAGGTTTTGCTGGTTTCACAGTCCAGTAGCAGCACAACAAACAAGAGAGTAAGTGAAAAAGAAGTCAGAATAAGATAAACTATGGCAGTAAGCAATAACTGCATGCTCTCTGTTTTTCAGGATGACTACAGCAGATTTGAAAAGCTGTGACTTCTTTATACTGACTTTGTTCTCTACATCTTTAGTTTCTCCTGCGCTGTCAAGCTGTACAATTAATGAATATACCAATGTTATGGTATAGCAGTGTACAACTAATGAATATACAGATGGTATGGTGTAACAGAGAGCTTGGCTACGATGTTGTTACACCAAAGCAGGAAACAGAAATGATAGGTACACTCACCCACATCCTGAGCTCATGTGGAAAACTCCAGTGGAGTGGATCTCCAGAAGAGCTCCCTCCCCACTGGTGGTCAGTTCTTAAATGGGTCTGGGAGAGGTGCAGCCAGGCTCCCCCCCTTCCGGCAGCACAGGAGAATTGCCTCCACCTGTGCTTCTCTGGCTGACTCAGTGCTCGCCTCAGGTGGTCAATCAGAGGTTCAGGCCGTGATTCAGGTCCCCACACACAAGCCTAGATGCAATACACAACTGCCACATCTTCCCACAAGGGAAATAAAAACAAATAATGTCTTTTTCAGGATTGGCAGCTTTGACAACTTAGTGGTGTGCAGGAACCAGAAGCAATCTATGAAAACACAAAGTTTTTACTTTTCATGTTTTTTATGTGTAGGTCATTGGTAAGGAACAATGATCTCATCCTAAATAATGTGGGTGAGAACAGAAACAGCCAAGTTGTTGTCAGGGTTATGATAACCTTGAAATATTTTTATTCAGCTGAACAAATCATACAGAACAGACACACTTGAGTTCCAGAACCTGAAAGCATTTAGACAGGATCAGACAAACCTAAACTACAGATGACAACGGGTTTTCTTAAAAAGTCTACGTAAAATACTGAGTTTAACACTTTCATTAGATTTTAAAAAAGTAATTAGATCATATATACACTAAATCTGTTTGGAATGGATTGCTGTTATTTACAAATGAAAGCATTTTACACACGGAAACTTGTCTTTGCAGCTTTGACATTTACAGCCTTTTTATATTGTATTGAGAACAGCTTTCAGATAAAACTGTTTTCTCCATTTTTATTTACATACATATTTAATTATTTCTGCTGTTTTTCATTTGCAAAGCAAAACCAATATCTAAAAGGAGCAATTAATTCCTGGAAACTTCCATTTCAATAAAAGACATCTGGAGTGCAAATCCACTGTGAGTGAAAGGTATTTAAACATATCAGAACTGTTTAGCAAAATATCTGGACATATATTTTAGTTAGTTCTGATGTTTGTTAGGCTGCCACCAGCTTGCTCGTGAAAGACTGAAGTATTTTCTGTCACCAATCCACAGTCATCCGATTCAGGTTCTAAATGATCCGAGTAGAATGGAGATCAACTTTGCCACCACGTGTACGTTGAGGCTGTTTCCCAGAAGACGGTAGCATTGCTTTATTGATACTTTGTCAGGAAAGCCTAAAATAAAACAGAGCAGAGTCATTAGTCCAGGGTTCTCCCTGGCTTTCTGGCTATTCCTTTTTCCAATGAGCAGTTCAGAAATACAGACTTCACATATATTAAAACACACACCCCTACAGTTCACAAATTTATAAATACAATTGTACACTGCACAACTGCTACTCAAGAGAAAATGAAAAGAGTAACGTAGCCACAGGAGAAAGAAAATAAAATGACTCCACAGATACAATAAAATGCATTTCATTACAGGCCTATATATTTTAACTCCAGTCCGAGGCCCTCTAACCAGTTATAATTAGTCTCATATTGCAAGATACTACCAGTACAGATCAGGCTATGAGGAAGGTTTATTCAGGGAGAGATCAAGCAGCTGAACAATTTTCCATGTAATTCAATGCTGTCCTTGTGGAATGCACTCAGAAATACAGACACCATCAAAAAGTCCTTCACATTGTAAATGCATTGACTGGCAAGAAGAAAGGACGACCAGAAAATGTTCCAGCTATTGTGAAAGGGCTGTGTTCTGTATTGAATGTGCAATCACAGGTGACCAAGCTTCTGAAAATTAAGAAGTTGCCAACTGGCTGGTCTGCTGTACCCGTCCTTGCTTGCTCTCTCAGCTCATTCCAACTACAAGCTGAAGTGTATCTGCAAACTGTCTGAAAGATGAAAAGCAGTGGTGATTCGACTGTTACGGTCATTTGCTAAGCTGTTGAAACTTGATCACGTTCAATTATTTGCCCGTTCCATAAGAAGAAACATGCAACTTTGACCCTGAGGTCATCACCACCCAGCTTCGCTTTGATGCACGATTGGTGTGAGGAAGGAGTGATACAAATATTCTGCAGTTTTCAGAGCACCTCAGAAAAATCCTTGTCCAAGGAGAGCTCAGGAGAGAACATGGCTGGATAGCTGCTGTGCCAAGGGTGGGAAGCTGAGGAGGAGGTGTCTGGGAGGAATTGTTCCATCCTTCTCTGCCAGTTATTAATGCCTTGAATACGGACTGCTTTGGTAAACATGTTTTCTGCCAGCTCTAGCCATTCTGAACAGCTTCTCAGTGCTCAAATTTGAGCACCCCTTCTTTTCCCTTCGGAACAACCATTTGCATTTCCCCCACACAGACTTACTAAAATCGTTTTCACACTGTATCATTGAATAAGGTACATAAACTGCACACTTCAGAAGAGTATATGAAAATAAATGTGTATTTATGCACACACACGCACATGTAATTAGAGCTCAAGAAGCTTATCTGAATGCTGATAATTTCAGAGTTTCTCCTGCCTTTTGGCAATTGAAAGCCATAATTCATTTTCAGGACTGTTTTCTATATCCCAAACCTCCCTTCATCTGCCTGTTTACACTATCTTGCATCTTCTGTCTTCTTGGCTCAAGAGTAACTACATCAGGACAGATTTAACAACTCATACCAGAACGCTCGTACTTGTTGCACAGATCTCACCGTATCATTTAGGTCTTGCATGTTACTTTGCAATGCTGAAGTCTTGACAACAAGCACTACCACAGAGTGCTGCTGCCGTTCATTTCTTAATAGCTTACACACATTGCTAAGAGGAAAAATGGAAAAGGCCTCCTGACATCACCCTCATGAAAGCAGGTCACAGGTGCAAGAATGCTCTGATCGCTTTTAATGACACTGCTGTGGGACCCATGATTAAGATAAATGATTGCACATTTTTTCATTGACCTATAGTGCAATTACAACTTATACACTGAGATGTTAAAAGCACAAATAAATCTGTTAACGTTAAGACAAGACAATGACTTTAGCTCTATATCTCATGTACTTGAAAAGACCATAAATCTGTTAGAATACAGACGCAATTATGCTGCATTTAGAATCATAGAATCACCAAGGTTGGAAAAGACCTAAAAGACACGATTTAGACACGATGATGTTTCTTGTAACACTGTTGCTGCAGCTAGCAATATGCTGATATTTGTGACAAAGCTTCCTGACATTCTGTTCATTTTCATTTCAACTCTCGTAGTTTTCTCATTTGTTAATTCATTTATATAATTCATTTGTTTATTTATTTATTTATCCATGCAACAACAAGTAGTTGCAGTGGGTACAACTCCAGGCTTTCTGACACTGAAAATTTCAGCCAAATTGTTGTTAAAGAACACAGATGCAGTGAAATTACAGTGTATTTTCCTCTGAAAATTCAGCACCTCTCAAGAACGATTTCAAATTTAGTATGGAAGAAATGCCATCAGTGACATACCCCTTACTGTAGCCATAAATATAGCAACTTGCAAGTCTTTTCAAGAAAATTTACGGTATGTTAAATCCTCAAAAGAAACTCACAGTAGCTAAATTCACCAGATTCCAATCAACACAGAGCTGAGTAACACTTTTTTTTCCGCCCTTACATGTACAAAGCGGGAAACATCTAGATTAAAGCAAAGGAGTGAAATGTCAGACATGTGACTCAGTGCATTGGGAAAACCTTACTGTGCATATGAATCAGGATTACATGACAAAGGAAACCATTGGATACGCGGCTTGTTCCATGTGTTATGGAAGCTGGAAAAGTAGTACAGTGAAGAAGGGAACTGCAAGAGCTGTAAAGAAGGTTCCATCTTTAAGGCAGAAGAGTCTAGCACTATAAGAGCTGTGATCTGTCCCTGGCTGCTGTGCATTTCTCTGGCGACAAGACAAGGTTGCCAAGTGAGCACTTCATAGATAGTGACTATCTGGATGCTCCTCAAATTCAGAAGCCTGACTTGTCTTCAGAGTGCAGTTGTGGTTCGCAGAAACATGGAAGGTAACAGCTGCCCCTGAAGATGAGCTCTGAACAGAGAAAGCTTAGCATCATTCCAAGTGCTCTGAAACAATAAAGGTCACTCAAACACACGGAGTCATCTAAACAAATCTCTGTGCCTTGGTTCTGCCTCTATTAAATAGAAGCAACATTAACTCTAATACACCTCTCAGTGGTACTGCAAAGACTGATCCAATGTTTGGAAAACGCAGGCTGTTATAACAAGCAGTGTATTTAAAAAGAGAGAAAATGGATAATTCTGTGTTCAAAATGGAACTTAAACATTATTATAAGCCTATACATGACCAATCCAGGCACATTTAGCTCAAGTTTCTTTACAACAATGAAAGTCAGTATGGAACTGAGTGATGCTAAGAAAAATGACATCTTCAAAAAAGACAAACCTATTAAAGAAGGGAGGCTATGAAATACTCCTGCATATTGACATATAACTCAACATGGCACACTCATGAAAAAAGTACAGAGCAGGTAAGCTTAGTGGTGTCAACTCTAATGCAAACTCGACAATGTTCTTTTAATGTAATTTTTCAAATGTAATTGCAAGGAATAAATACAAAAAAACCCTAAAGATATGAAAGAAAAAAGTATATGCAAACTAGCAGCACTCCTTGAAGCCGCTTAGAAAGTTGAAATATATTACAAGTTAGTCAAGGTCACTGGTGTCCTGCAAGTCTATACTGCTGAGAGACAATACATTGATCTGATGTAATGGCAGCAGACCAAGTTCCTTGGCAGACAGTAACAGCTCAATTTCTTTGTCTTTCTTTGCTGAAGAGCAAGGAAAACTCTGGTGCATTTATTGCTGGCTTAATTCCAGTTGACTTGTGCGCAACATACTGGTATTGCCCAGTCTTGCTCCTTGACTCCCTTGTCTCCACCAAAACAGAAAACAAAGTAACTGACCAAGGGCTAGGACTGCCTTTTCTAGAAATTAGAGAGGACTTTAAAAATCATTACTTGAAGAGATTTGTTACTCTGGAGCAAAGAAGCATTTGTATACTGTGAAGTTATTCCCTTTCTGTTACCAGCTGCAAACGTGTGGAAGGGAGCAAGCAGCTCAGATAGTGAGAACTAAGACATCCTAAGCTGGCAGGATATGTTGACCTACCGGTTATGGGTAATGCTGGCTGCTGAGTAAATAGTTTCAACTGTAAAACAAATATATTCCTTCACTGTCATTCAGTAATACAGCACTCCTCATGACAAAAGGGAATTTAGAGAAAAGTAGTCAATTAGTAAGTACCGATCCGAAAAGCTGAATGGTCAGAAAAAACTTACAAAATAAAATGCACACATTACTCCCAACAAAAAACTACATTAGTATGACTTAAGAATGAAGTAGAAGTTGGTACTTTGTGAGCACTTACCAAATTCTGGAGGGAATCCATGCAGATTTGCTATTTCTCTTGGAGTAAAATACCTCAGTTTTAGCGTTGACAGTTTCATAAGCTTCTCTTCTTCTGTTAAGTTCTCAATGTGCTTAAACACTGATTCAAGCTACAAAGAATATCCAAAACAACAGGTCACTGACATAGGCAGAACATGAAATTACGCTGTAACACTCACATCATAACAGAGCATTTCTTTGATTATCACAGTGCCAAAGTCAATTTGAAAGCATGTTAAATGTCCTATTTTTGCAGCCAATATCTTAATATGAGCACTGACAAGAACAAAATCAACGTTGCCATGAAGGAATTCATCACTTCTTCCCCAGGTTTACAAGCCATACCAATACTTAATGAGGCAATCAAAGGGCTACAAACATTTGTTAATGACAAAATATTGACTTAGCATAGCTCAGAAATATCATACATGTATGCAAGTTAAGTAGTACAGATACAGCTCAACTGCTTTAATCCATTTGTTTTGGCATTATTCTGAATTCCAAACTGAATTCCTCTTATGCGTAGAAATACCTTACAATATTAGTGAGCGGCACAGAAGTGCAGGAGGAAATGTTTGTCTGTATCCCCATGACAAAGTACCACTTTGTGGTGAACTCAGTATCTACAGCTGAACTTTTCAAAATGTTATGTCTTTCCAGATAATAATTTTGACATTCAAAGATTTTAATATTAAACATTTGACAATGCTTACCAGCTCATGTACACAAAAAAGTCCCTAGAATCACAACTTGGCACTGTAATTTGTCAATAGAATTAGTCAATTTTAATGTTTTCACACTGAAACGTTTTCCCTGCAGAATCTCTACGTGACACTACAAATAATAAAATACCAACTCATTCTCCACGAAGAGAGGCACAGGTATATCTTGATACAAATAAATTGCTGTTTGGAAACTCTAAGTACAGCAGATAGAAACTTGGTTTCTTCAAAAGCATTTTTGCTGTGATATTCAGAATAACAAAGCAGAAGACAGACAAAACAAGCTTTAAGACAAGTATTTCTCATACTTACCTGCACATCTACTGCTGTCTGCAGAACGGAGCCTGTCCCTTCTACATAGTGCCCATACCTTAACAAAAACAATCTTAAATGAGTATTTTCATTGGACCTTGGTACTAACAATCACAATGATGCAAGATGAACTTCATTTGCTGCAATTAACAAACAGCCTTCTGGACTGATTAAAGAAAAGGCCTTGTTATCAACAATGCTAACTTTGAAACGCAGTAGCCTCTGAAGATAACCTCTGGGGATGAGTCTGCAATCAATGCACAAGGGTTTAACCACGCTAATGCCTTATATAAGGAAAGTAACTCAAGCACAGCATAATCAGAAAGGCCTATCTACATTGCAAACATTGATTTTACACTAAGGCAAAATATGTCAAAGGCCAAACGCTCCTGGGGTTCTAATTGGCCGACCATATTAAAAGCAGGACCATTACTCGTGATCCTGCAGCTTTCAATCAATCCATTAGGAACAAAGTAGTTCAGTCAGATTTAACTTTTGCTTGCTTGCAAATTTTCCACAAAGGGAAGGGATGGGGGATGGGCTTCTCTGCAGAGAAGCAGAAGTAAGAAAGAAAGAAATGAAAAACAGCATCCAACAAAACAGTAAGTACGCTTATGCTATAAAAACATATGTCAGCTTTTTTGGATGCTTTGTGGTTGACTGCATAACAATATGTTTACTCTGTACTCTCTTCCAGGCTATCATTTAAATATAATCATGGGCTTTCAGAAACAAGCTCTGATGGTCTAACAATGATAGCAAATGAATGTACTGAACAGAAAGAGACTGAATCAAGTCATCAGTGGCTTTTGCAAAGTAGAAGAACTTGGAAGATCCTTGCATCAGACATGAGTGGTCTGCATCAACCATCAATATATACTATCCTCAGGTTTTCTCTGTGTAACTGTAAAGACCGCTGTGTTTTAAGCCTAATTCCACAATGAATAAAGGAGTGGTCTGCCTTCATCAAAGACATAATGACTCAATATGACTCAAATCTTGAGAATTTCTTCATCTGGAAATGTTATGAGTAGTTCTAGAAGTATCAGTGAAACCAACAGCAATTTTTAAAATAAAGTACATGCAAATCTTAACTCAGATCAGGACAAGGTGACCTAAACACTAACACCACATGAAATTGAACTGTAAACATATAACACTTAATTGGTTAGCAGCACTCTGAAAATTCCCTGATGCCACATTTAATAAGGTAAAACAAATAGCCCTGAGGAATCCTCATCTTACACGGTATCTAATACTGTTTGATCTTACTTTGGCTGAACGTATCCGAGACAAAATAAATAAACGAGGATAAATTTCAAAGTGGTAGTTCAGAGTTTTATGGGGAAAATAGGATTTTTTTAAATGTGATACATGTTATCTAATACACCCTAATCTAAATAATTGTGACTAAAGAACTCACAAAAAAAAAAAAATCCAGTTGGTATAGCCAACTAAATCTACAAATGAAGATTGTTCCACCTTTTCTTTTTTAAAATGTGGACAGATAGGCAATGTTAGCTTGAATGTCATTGATTATTATTGCAGTTGCTGACTACAGAAAAATTAATACGCCTCTGAACATAATTAAAAATGGGAAATCTTGCCACAGTGAAAAATGATGCATTGATTTTTGGATATTTCATTAGCAGTTACAATGAAAGAAGCAGATGGCTTAAGAAATTGCAGTCCTAAATTTTCACCTGACTCACAATTGTTTTCTTACACCCCATCTTTATCTTCTAAGCACTATAAAAAGCTCAGCTTCAAACATTAATATGTTATTTCCCAGTACACTCTGTCATTAGAGAGAATTTCTGTAACTAATACTGCACTGTCTCTGAAGGCTGTTCTTGTCTGCATAGCAAGAATTTGAGTCCAGAATAATTTGAATCAAATAAATAGCTTTCATTTACTCTGTCCTTCAAAACGGTAATTTTCCTCTTTCACAACTTCAGACCTCACAAACACGTTTCTTAGAGAAACCAATGGCATTCGCACACTGAAGAAACTCAGCAATCATCTTCAAATTGTCTCGGAGCCTAAGCTGGAAGGTCCTGCTCCATCTCTCAAACACCACACCTATATTTTGCCCTAAACCCCACCAGAGATTTTTGACCCCAAAGAAGTCAAAGTGTACGACAAAGGCAGACAGGAAGACAAAAGCACTGATGTGATGTGTTCAAGGTCTCTGAATTAGCAATGAGTGAAGGAGTCATATCCAGATTATCTTCAGCACATGAATCCTGCCGGAGCTATCTAAGGACGGGTCAGAACTAGGGGAAAATGTTGGCGATCAGTGTGACTGGTAAGGAAGACACCATACAAGCACCACAGCAAAGAGATTCTCTCTACTGCTCTGAGTACTGTTCTGCTTCATTCAGGGTCCTCTTTCCCAAATCTGACATTTCAGAGCACTCCTAGACTTCTTACAGCAGTGATGTACTCTAAGCCTCAGAAAGAGCTCTGGATGAAGACTGAAATGTAATTGTAACAATTGTCTTAGTGCTGAGCTGTACATGTTATCCGATATGGTTCTCCATGTGGTCATATCTTCCCTTTCCAATTCTTTGTTCCAAAGCCAGCAAATCATGAGCCAAGAACTACAACTATCCGGCCTGACTCCTCCCATGTCATTAAAAAGGCAACAAATACAAATGGAAGAGGGCCTACCTTTTTTATTTGACAACTTTAGTTATGAAACATCTCCCACAATGCTGACTTCCCCATGACACAAAACAGTGAGGGCAGAAAAGACATATACCAATGAGAGGTGGAGGAAAGGCTTTCCTGTTGCATGAATTTTGAAATTCTTCTCAGCTTTCTTATTAGCAAAAAGCTGAAATCACAAAATCTGCAGGAATTCAGTTCATCTGACATTCTAATTTCTTCTACTAACAATTAAAAAAACTTGCTATAATTAGCTTTAATTCATTAATTGATCATCATTCTGTTGAAACATCTTGAGAACTCAAACACAAACCTCCAGGCTCTAACTGGCACTTTCCAGTACCAATGCATTCAGTGGAGAAGCTCCTGACAGGTTGCCTGTGGTATTTCAAAACGCTCAACAACATCTGCCATTCAAACATAAAATTCCAAAGCATGAATCAGAAAACTACTAGACAGAAAAGCACTGGTGTTCTGCTCCATCAAATATGATTTGTAATGCTGCAACCTAACTGGTTTTATGATATATGGCCAATTCACAGCTATTTTGACCTACACAGCTGAAACACCCAGGAAATCAATAAAACGTACAGTGGAGACAGTTTTAATGAGGAATGGATCTGTCATGCATGACACTTTGTAACAGCAGTGAGCAATATACAGAAATTCATTAATGAATCAGTACTATACCAGTCTACTGGAACCATATTTCCGCAGGGGTAATTAAGCTTCTGTGAAGGTCAATAACAAATGGCAGTGTCTTTTGTGAATGCATTTTTGGAGTGGGCACATGATGTTCTGCCAGACAGTCTCATGCTGGCATTCCATTCAATTAGGAAACATGCTATATAAGGAGATTTTTCTATTTTTTTTTTTTTCTCAGATGCCTGTCTTTTTTTCGTGAAGAAATAGCTCTTTTTTTTTTTCTTCAATTTTTTAGTACACAAATGAAAGCACAATACACACTCTAAGTTTCAGGACATGATTCAGCAATACACTTTATTTGCAACTTACCCTTTTGTAAAGCATGTGGATCTCCGGCAAGTGGGTTTAACAATGTCTAACAAGAAAGCGTAGCGTAGCAAGGACTTGGGTGCTAAAAAATACTGACTCATTTCTTCATTCTCATCTTCCAGGAAATCTTGTAACATTTGAATAGAGGGATCATTGTCTTGACTATGCTTCCTTACCATTTCTTCTACTGTTTCAAGCTTAAAAAGAAAGGACTCTTTTGGCAAGGGTCCATTCTTGCTGCTGCAATCAGAACCAGTGTTTGAAAGTAGACTCTTCTCTCCAGAAGGCAAGGAAGAACTAGCTGCGTCAACAACTTCATCCTTGGATAACTCTTCTAGATTCTGATCTGGGAATCCTGTCAATATCTAAGAAATAAAATCGTGAGAAAGATCAAGTAACTGCATTTGATAAACAACTTGACAGCAGAAACTGTAGCGATTAAGAATTACTTCAGAGGTGCAAATAACCATTCGGTGTTATTTTTTACAAAGATTAAAAAAGAAGTAAGTTAGCATTGAGATCAGTTGACCTAACAGCAATGATGATGGAAAGAATTGCACATAGTTGCCTTTACTAAAAGACATTTCCGCCTCAACTGCTTAAAGCCAACTAAACCATTGATATGCATTTCAGTCTTTAGAAGACACAGCATTGAGGCCAAACAAAAAGAGACAGATTTCAACTTATCTGTTGGTATCTCTTATCTAATCCATTCCTGTCCACACTACTAAACTGAAAATTTGAACTAGAATCTTCATTAAATCAAGGAAATTGAAGAACAGAAATTAGACTCACCTGACCAGGAACATGAAAGAAAAACGGCTCGTGGTGAAGCTTTGCAATTAGAAAATACCGCAGCCTAGAATTGGGAATGCCAAGCTGCAAGCAAAAATCCACAAGCTTTTAGTCCATGTGACAAATGGAGAAGAAATGATCAATAGCATTGTAAAAGTTACCTATTATTATTTACAGTAATAAGATTATTTCACAGTAATGCATTTTGCCACTTAAGAGATATCAAAATTAATTGATAGTACCTAAATACTCCTAATGAACCATGAACATAATTCCCATGCAAAGGTAACCTCAAAGAAAAAAGAAGGTATTTTTTTTCCTCACGATTCTGCTTTTCTCTGTAAATGAACAGGAACATAAGCAAATTGTTATCTAAGGAAAGAAGAAAGATGAGGCACGCCACTGTTTCCTGGGATGAGTACTGCTTGTTTTTTTATAAACCAGGAAAAAGGTTTCTCCTTTTGTTACAAGGAACTACAGGACATCCAACAATGAAACAAATGTACGACTGGCTTTCAGGTTACTCTACTATGTTTTGTCAAATACATACGGTACCTCACTGATCCCATTTAGTCTCGCACAATCTGGCGCCTCTCTTAATTCTTTTCCAGTTGTCAAGGAAACATACAAACAGTGGCCCTGCCCCCACAAATGACAGTCATGTTTTCTGTGCTGAAAAAATCACAGGCATCAGCAGCTCTGAAACAATAAGGTTCCTGCAGGGAAGCACCTTCTTGGTCATGGTTTACGTTCACACCTACTTTAAAAAAATGGTATGGGGAAAGGTAGCAGACAAACATTTCCTCCTGCACTTCTGTGCCGCTCACTAATATTGTAAGGTATTTCTACGCATAAAAGGAATTCAGTTTGGAATTCAGAATAATGCCAAAACAAACGGATTAAAGCAGTTGAGCTGTATCTGTACTACTTAACTTGCATACATGTATGATATTTCTGAGCTATGCTAAGTCAATATTTGGTCATTAACAAAAAATGCATGACTAGGATCACAATAATAACATCAGTAAGATTATGCCAATGTACCAATGAGAAATCTGTCATATCAGATTGCTCTCATTCAGAAGCTCTGGGCACCACCCCCTTTTCTGATAAACACATCATTTTCAGATGTCCTTGGACTCAGTGTTTGAACAGTTAAATAATCTTAGAATAAAATTAATACTCACACAGGTTGGAGACAAGAGAAATTCTTGATATTTAAATCCACATGTTTCTAGTGTTCGCAGAAGTTCATTTCTGACAGTGAGAAGAATCGAGAAGCAATTATGCCCTTCATAAGACCTTATAAATCCTTTAAGTTTTTTTTATCCTAAGTGAAAACACATCAAATGTAGTACCTTAGGTACTGAGATTTCACATTCAGTGAAAGAATCAGACAGAGAATTACACATGTAAAGTAACTCATTTCTGAACTCACAGACAACATACAAAATGCAGTGTTACTGCAGCTAAAAATGACCACTACGAATTCACAAGTACCTAACACCTATGGGGATGCAAACAGCCCTTCAAAAATATTCCATCTCTAGAAGAGTATATCTCTGGGTGAGTGTGCCAGCAAGGAAAATAAGAAGAGAGCATAACTTCCTCTTCATTGTGAATTATAAAACTTTACACTGAAATCGATACAAATGGCTCACTGTTTCCCTCTGTTCATGCACATGATATCAGCTAAGCTTAATAAAACATTTAATAAAGCTTATTATAAAATTTATATTATAAGCTTAATAAAAAATTAAGCCAAAAATGCGTGGATTTGACAACAAAAGCAAGCATGGACTGTGCTCTGCAGGCATAAAAAAAAAAAAAAAAAAAAAAAAAAAAAATCACTGATATTGGAGTTTTCCTGTAAAGATTTGCCTTTCCTATTTCATGCAGGCTGTATATATGCAGGCTATATATAACTCACAAACTGTGACCCTATATCTGGCACTGTATGGTACTGCAGCCCAAGAGAAAGCAACCATTCTGACCAGAGTGTTTTCTGAGTTACAAACTGTTCCAAACACTGGCCAGCAAGGAGCAGCCTTAGGAACCTCAGGCTCTCCAGGAGCAGTCCAAATCTCCAACAGGACTGCTGCATGCTTTAATCAGTGAAAAAGATGAAAATGTCTCCCAGCTGCCTGCCACATGCATGAAGCATGAAGAAGCTAGCTGCTCTCCTGCTGATTTAAGAAATGCAAGGGAAAGATCCTACTTTATTTCCAGCAAGAAATGAGGAAAGATGACTAAATCCCTGTCTCTCCACAAGTGAGGAAAATGGTCCTGCTGTTATTAAGTAACCTTATCACCAACTTTCCTCTTTCATATTTCAGACAAAAGTCATATGCAGATTTCATACTCTCTTTATGAACTGTTTTATAGCAACAGTGAATCAGTAACAACATACTATCAACAGAAACACTGAAGAAAGCTACTGCATTCTATTGTGATCTCAGCACAAGGCACGAAAAGCTCCTGTCATCGGTAAAATCCAAAACCTCTCCTTGAAAAATAATATTGTTCCTTTGTGAAGGACACCAAGTCATCAAAGAAAAACAGCAGAGTCAAGTTCTAGTCTGTTTTATATACTTAGAGAAATAGTTATTTATTAGGTTCCTTTCATAAGACTTTAATTCCCAAATTAAAACAGTATCTTTTACCTACAGCTGCTAACTGTGCCATCTCACTCTTTTCTTCTCTTAAATTCTAGGAAATAAAAATCCTGCCTTCTTTATTAAAAAATAAACCATGTATAAGTTAGACTTTACCTTGCAGAAGAGGATTCAAATCCTTTAACGTTTTCTAAAAGTAGGTATTTTGGAAGCTTCTGGAGCCTAAAAGAAAGATGAAAATATCAATAGATCACAGTTGTAGGAAGTGAACTACATTATATTTATCTACATACTTGTTTAGCTACAAGATGAAAATATTTCTGTACCATGCTAGTCCATAAAAAGATGTACCTCAATGTCGCAGATCGAGCAATTCCCATTGTTGGTAATTCCAAACAACAACAAAAGCCACATTTGTTCAGATGGGCTGCTGTACCCATCTGTATCCCACACGTGATCTTTTGAAAACATATAGCACTGTTCATTTCCTAAAGCATTGACTTATTGCTACTCAAAGATTAAGCTTGTAATAGAAAAGAAAATTATAGGGAATGAAAAATACTACAATTTACCCATGGAATAGAGCACTTTATTTATTTAAGTACTTCAATCTGAAATCAATGTTAAAATACCGTATCTACATTAGTGGCGAAACATCAAAGTCAGTATTCATTAAATTGCTTTAAAAAATACTACATTTAGAGTTCAAACTCCATATACTTTCAATTGTCTGTACTTAATTTTTTTCATTTCCATGAGGAGGGAAGGCGAAGTAGCTGAGGTTAAACAACATCAGTGCAGAAGTCTGGAAATTCCAAAACCAGCTTATTAAATCTCTGGAGAAAGAACCATACCGAAACTGTGCCAGGGACCATTTTAACAATTTAAAACCATGAACAATTCAGATTCAAGTGACAAGGAACACGCATTGGAACCAATAGTCCAGTAAGACCATCACAGATACACGTCTACCATATCTAAGATCTCAGAACAGTGTACAGGAAGAGAACATTAATGCCAACAGACAGTAAATCTAGGTTTATTTAAGTCGGGAAGTGATTTCAGACTGTGCTGATGTAAATCACAGCAGAATTTGTTTTGGCAATTTGCAAACTATCATCAGTTACAGAAATTCGCATGAATAATTCCAGTGTTTGACAAGAAATTTGAAAATGTACAAATACTACAGCAAATACGAAAATACTGAAAATAACATTGAAGTGGAAAAAAAAAAAAAAAAAAAAAAGCATCAGCCAACCCCCCTGGGCAGGAATGGAGAATGTATCTGTTGGTATGTTTACCCATACTCAACATCACCATCACCTACTGTGAAGCTTATTTTTGGAGTAATGAATCCACAGCAGAGCTTGAAGTGCAAAAGCTCATACAGGATCAACATGTCACAAGGCAAATAATCACTATACAAAGAGTATGTGTTAAATACTTGGCAGGTTTTAACATCACTAACTTCTCTGCAAAATTAACAAACATTGAAGCCTTAGTATTAGATTTCCCTGGGTTATGGTTTGGATACAATAAACAGAAAGTATCTGGCCCGTTTGGGCCAGCTTTTGTGTTCACTGGCTGAGGGCTGGAAAGGTTTCCCAGATGTTTCCAGATCTTGAAATTGCCTTTTCTGTGCCTTTAATATTTGCCTCCCTAGCCTATCTTTGAGCTCTGTTTCAGCTACATTTTGTTATAAAAGGGAGAACATAAGGTAGGAACAGCCAAGGAATGAAAAATTTTTCTACAGTTTCCACAAATTAAATGCATGCTATATCAATTTTGAATACGAACTGATAGTTCCTATATTAAGAATTTCCCTTTTTAGGGCTGAAATACTCCCTGCATAACGTCTGGCAAACACGTCTTCTTCAAAACATACACAAACACTATCTCAGTAAAACATAAATCTAATGGATCCAAGAAACTAAGCAGAAGTTACCATCTTGAACACATTACAGACGTCTTACAGTAACTACTGCCCTAGAAACAACCTGTGTAAAGGTGATAAGGGAAGTCAGCAGCGTCTCACAGGCTGCTGAGATAAAAGTGCCACAGCCAAGCCCAGCTCTGCATCACCATGACAAAAAACATGTCCTGTAGTGTCTAAAGCATTGGTTTTGGGAAGGAAAAGTCTCTGCCCTTTATCCAGTTAAACTCACAGCAACCAGGAAGAGACACTTCCATGCCAACGCACAGCAGTGTCACAACAGCAGCCCTACTCTTAACTGCATCTCAGTTTAATGACAAGGAACAGATAGGTCAGGATTTCCTCAAGGATAAGGAAGGTACTATAATTTTGACAAACATATACTACCTGATGTTTTTAGTTTGACATTTTGAAAGATCAGTCATGAGGAGAACTGACTTTTTTTCTTCTTCAAAAAACACATCTTCCACCATTTTCTGAAATTTACAATATTTCTTTTTTTTTTTTTTTTTTTTTTTTTTTCCCCCCCTCTACTGGATGTGGAGGAGAAATAACATTCTTCCTTTTTACCTATTTTACCTATTATTTAGCTAACTTACTGGGCTACAGAACTTAGTGAAATGGTTGTTCTGTGTTCTCTGTCACAAATTCAACAAGTGATCCCAGTCAAGCCACTCAGCCTTTCTGTGCCTATGTCCTCCACCTGCTGATGACAAGGGCAAAACAGTGTTTTCCCTAATGCTGCCAGCTGTAAAGCCGGTTCTGGAAGAAGAATGAAGGAACTTACCCCAGTGATAATAGTAAATTGAAAGAAAAGAATACAGGAGTATGGTGGTGGGAAGAGAAAGACAGACAGACCTCTTTCCCTCCTCCTCCTCTTCTGGAAGTAAAATTAGCCAACAGAAGAATACAGTGAACAGCTGCCCTTGTTTATGATGAGTAAGTGTCTGGTGGATCATAACTCATGCAAATTTTCAGGCTGATGCCTAATACACATCTCAATCCATAGGCAGAGATTTCTGCAAAATAAATCCCTCTGAACAACTCCTTGCTTGCTCCATTCACCTACAAAGATGCTTAAAATGCTATGCATCTCTTCCCAAAAAAGACTACAAACATTACTTGGAGCTGATTTTTAAAACTCTTAATAAGAACAATTTATGTCAGCAATAAACACTTTGAATTTACTGTTCAAATTTAATATATGAATAACACAAACAATTAAGGCTATTTTATTAGGAACCAGAGTCATGCCAGACAAAAAGAATAGATTAAGACAAAAAAAGAGCACTGTTCAGACAGATCAATGCTATTTGAAACTTTTAGTGTTACCACTCAAAACAAAATTACAAATCAAAAAATACAGTCTGCTATAATATAGCTTGAAGTAGCATCAGAAAGACAGAACAGACACTTCAAGAAAGAGTGGAATGGGAAAGAGGACATACTGTATTGTGCAGCTGAAATCATGCTTTAATGAAGTTTTCAAAATGTTTCTTAATGACATTGGTAAAATATAAATTATTTTTGATCATATGGAAACAAATAAATAATACAATAAAATATTAGCAGTATCCCTGCAGAACATTACAGATTACTTACAACATAAAATAACTACTTAGTAACACCAAGGGCTTAAGAGTTGAGGTGGAAGTTAACTTGTACCTTGGGAGAATATCAAGAATATAAAGAAAGCTCTTTGTCCTCGGATCAGATACATCACCTTGTAGGCCAATTCTACAAAATAATAAGGAAACAACTGCATTTTACTTGGAGCACACTGTTATTCCACTTACATTTTTCTACAGAAAGCTGGCACTTTTTACTTCAAGTTTTGAAAAGAGATTCTGCAAAATCATCATGTCCAGGCATGAGGCAGTATCCTCTGCAATGCCATCAGGAATGAGTGTGACCTGAAATCCATTACAAGGTTAACACTGAAGCATTCAATAATGAAACTCACACCCCAGTGTGCACAGCACTAGTATTATGGTCTTAGTAAAAAAAACTCCTGAAGGAACAACAGCAGCAGCAACACAAAAGAGCAGCATTTGGGCATAGCCAATTACTTTATACCAAATATATTAAATTATCCAGACAAGTTAAGGTTACAGTGCTCACCATTTTGCAGGATTGAGCCTGATGTGGATAACTTTTTAACTAATTTAGAGCTATTGAACTGGACTGCTCATTTACCTTACAATAAGGAGATTAATTGGATAATGAATCCAGGCCTTGGTTTCCATAGCTTGTACTAGTTGTTTAAGTCTTGGTAGAAGAATTTAGCATGTCTCTATATTAATTAGTCATATACAGTCCATTCTTTTCATTACATTACAAAAGAAAATGTTGTATTTATAGCAGAGAGAACTGTATTTCCTTACTATAATTATGTAACTATATTATAGTTGAGAGAACCTCTCCTCCAGCAACCACTGCTGTCAAACTAGTTGCATTTGAAATAAATCTGACAAGCTCCTAGCAATTTCAGTTCCTAAACAATGAAGATATTTCTCTGTGTCATCCTTAATCATTTCAAAGCCAACACATTTTGAAAACATAACTTGTGTCTATGTGCAATTATTGATACACTTCTCTTGGCCAAAATAGGAACATTCCTCAGAATAAACTGCGTGCATATGTAATTTTCAAAGGACTTGCAAAGTTCTTATTAAAGAACAGATTCCAATCTTAATCACCCGCAGAAGGGAGAAATTCCAGTTCTCCCTCTGGAGCAACCCCACTGAAAAATTAGACTTCTAATTAAAGGGAAAGGAAGCAGTTCTAAATGCAGACTTATTAATTCCACTGTCAGAAAAACAGTATTGTGTGCAGAACAGGTGCTTTAGGCAGCCCAATCAATTTTAACTGAATAAAAAGGACATACAAAGTATAATCAATAATTAAAATTAAAATTCCTGCATTTCTTCCAGTTCAGTAGAACCTTGTGGTGAACACAGCCACAGAATGGTTGCTTAGGAAGATAAAGCTACACAGATGGGCCAAGCACCATAACATGCATGAAAACATTTATTCGCCCTTTACTCAAAGGCCGCTGTATCTACCTTGTAAATGGCTGGCAGGGAGGACTCATCAAAATCATATCAAAAGATAATCTGTCAAATTCTTTCAGTGTAATGCCCTGAATAAGGGAAAAAGAAATACAGGAATGTTCAGTGCTGAGAACTGTACAAAACTACTAAACCAACCTTCAGACTAAACTACCCCATTACACCCACTGTTTGTTCTATCTAGTAAAAAGCTCCCTGACCTCCCTAATAATTACATTAAATTAAAAACTTAACCTAATAATTCCATTCTTTTCTACCTCAGCAAACCACACAGAGCAAATACGCATTAACAGCCTTGAAAATGAACCCAAGGCACCAATGATACCAGCATCTACACATAACACTTTTTTTATTTAATCACTCTTTTAGAAGAGATGAACTAGTTCATGATTCTTTCAGTAGATCCTGATTAAAAGGAGTTAAAAAAACGTTTGCTTAATGGCAGTTTTTGAGATATGACAAATGCTTAGATTATAATCCATCATGCATACAACACAAAAAGCTATATGTGGCATAGCTTTCGGTTAATCTTAGACAGATGTGTTTTAACTCTCAGGAGCTCATTACCAACGCATCCTATGAAATTTACTTCATTCTAGTTTTTGCTGAGTAAAAATCCCTGAGAGCTGTTTCATGGCTGAAAGCAATAGTCCGCAAAAGCATTTCTGTTCAAAGAGAAAAGACTGCGGCACAAACTAATCGCTTGGGCGTTAGTTCTCCTATATTAAATTCTAACAGTAGGTCAGTATATTAAGGGGCCAAGAGGAGAGAAGGATCCATCAAATAACTACAAATGAGACAATGAAATCACTGCTTTACATATTTTGCAACATATCTATAATGTGTAACATAACTGCCCACAGAAACTGGACAAAATTTCCTCTGTTTTTCAGTAAATTTAAGGAAGGTCTTACTGACTGTAATCTGCTCTTCCTTATAACAGGAAGATACAGGCAATCTTTCCACTTCTCTTCCCATATAAAACTGTAAACTATTATTAGTCTGCTATTACTGAGTGCTGAATAAGCAGCTAACCTTTAGCCACCTTATTTAAGCTGATATCTTCAAACAAATTCATTACCTTACTGTCATGTTGTAAAACTGCAAAAGAAGATTAAAAAGTATGCAGTAACTTCTGCAGGTAAAATCCCATATCTAGTTTGCCCCTCTGTTAATCTGAGACATCTGTACCTATTTCTTCCCTAATAATTTGGTAAAGAGACAGAATTCCTAAAGCATTTGACCTACTGAGGCCACAAAGAAAATGCAAGGCATCTAGTATATTTTCCTGTGTTTTACTCAGATCAACTATAATTACAAAGTAAAGGCATGATTCCAACAGATTTAATGAAATTCTCTCGAAACACTTAAAAATATATTTTTTTTAATCTAGAAATGTGATTTTTGTCATTCCTTTAGAGCTGGTAAGCATTCCACATGACACTCACATAACCTTCCTTAATGCAGCAATCAAGACTTCCAGGAAAAGATCTCATTGTAAGTATCCATCTGCTTCAACAAGCAAATACAGCACATTAAATGACAGTTACTGTAAAACTGCTGTTCCCCTAACATCAATAATTAAGTCTGTCTGTTTCTCTTTGGTACCAATATGGATAGGAAGTCAATCAACTTCTAGAAATGCCAGGCTAGAATAAAAAAAGTCATTACCTCAATTGTCTTTGCCCATAATGGTGTGCTGGGAAAGTTGTGCTTATAAACTTCATTGGCAAGAGTGTTCACATCCACAGCAGCAACAACTTCTGCACATACACAGCTTTCTAAAATTAAAATAAAGTTGAAAATCATAGATTGAATTTTTTACTCTCGAAATTTAATTTTGTTCAGTTGTATTACAGCTATGCTCAGAAATAAAAGAGAAATGACAAAATCAAACTCTGCTGTGCTGCCTTTACAACTTTATATGAAATACAGACTGTTATTAATCGGAGGCCAGAACTTCCCTCTCTTATATATCCAAAAAGGGAAGCTAACTGTGCATTTCTTAATTTGTAGACACAGCCACACATAAGTTCTGAACAGACTGTATCTATAACATTCCCACCCGCAGACACCCTCTGTGGTGACCAAGTTCCCTCACCATAGGAAGGCAGCCCAAGTCAACCTGTCGAGTCCCACAGCAGCTGCCTGCAGCTCCCGAGCCACTGACAGCTTACAAGATACATAATTTACTGCTTCTCTGCTCCCTGTGAGAACTAGTGTACCTCTAAAATATGTTTGAGATATCCATACTGCTGCAGTAAAACTTTAAGAAGGTACCTGAAGAACGTTTGTGTGCATATTCCCCATAACAAGTTGGACCTCAAACCCAACTGCTGTCTCCTTTGGTTCCAACACCCCAAAAATACCAAACATTTTGAAGGACATTTGGCAGATCCTGATCTCTTGAGATCAGACAAAGCATTCTGGGACACTTACAGTCATTAATGGAGGAAAACATAATAACAAACCTACTGAGAGCTAAGAAGTACACTAATGAGCAAGGTTACAATAAAGAACTCTACAGAAACTATAAACACTTAAAAGAACAGTATTTAATCTGCTGCTCTTCACACTATTCATCATTTTGAACACTATCCCTCACTGAGGCTTTCTGTTGGAAAGATAGGCTGCGGTGACTGTTAGACCTGCAGGCAGAGAACAGCCAGCCTGCTTATTATGATACACAACACCAACTTCAACCACCAGGAAACCTACATCATGATCACCCTCACAAAGCCCCCATTGAAACACGAGCCATTTTAACAAGGCTTGAGCAAGCCAAAACAAACAAGGCAAAAAGCCATTTGCCTTCAGGTAGTCTTACAGCATACTCAAGTGACACATTAACAAATGACCTTATGAGACATCTAACAAATTACTGTGACCCAGCTAATTATTTACAGTTTGAAAAAACAATTATATAGTTTTGAGTGATGCGGTTACCACCCATCTACTATCTTTTGCCATGCATGTTTTCAAGGCAATACTATTCAAATCAAGATGAAAGAGAAATCTGAGTACTGCAAAGGTTGCAATAGATGCCTTAACAAAGATCACTGTAGTTGTCCTGCGTTTATGGAATGCAGTAACTGGCAAGATGAGCCAGAGTTTCGATAAGAAAAAGAAGTAGGGACTGCCCACTAAGGGACAACACATAAATCATTATTTGCAGTTACTGTGTTGATATGGTGACCATAAAGTGTAACCAACCCTAAACACAGGCATACTCTTAAGGACACCAGAGTGCCTACACCTGAGATTACAGAACAGGTACGTTAACACTGACACCTAGTGAGAAAAGAGCATCACCTTTGCAGGCCGTTTGTCAAAACTAAGAAGCGAAGTCAGGAGCTCATACTTTCCCCTCCCCAAAACAAAGCTACAACACCTGAGCAATGGTAACAAACTTCAAGCACTGTTTAAGAGACTGCTTTTCTCTTCTATTCTCTCAGCTTTTGAAAGCATGCTCTCCTGACAAACAGATCCCTACTGTGTGCTCCAGGCACTCCAGAAGAAAAAAAAAATATCAGGAATTTCAAGTTATTATGTAAATTCACACAGTTTATAAACAACAGTTGAAAAGCAGGCAGTGTGCTTTCCCTGCAACTCATGATTCAGACGTTCATCCTTTTTACTAACCTCAACTCAATCTCTTCTTTCATATATGCAAGAAAGAAATAAATACCTGATTACTTTTTCAAAGCTTCTCTTTTCCACTCAATAGCTGTGCTCACTTTGGAGTTTGTGTTACAAAACAGACTCCCTCTAAAGCTGATTAAGTGTATTTTTTTTGTGTGGAAATACCCTAGAACGCATGAAGGACCTCAAACAAACAAGCAGATCTCACTCATCAAACCTAATAAAGAAAAGCTTGTGCAGATTTCACACAATGTGAAAACGAAACAATTTTCAACAACTCTTCTCCTGAAATTTAAATAATTTTGATGTTAAACTGTGATAATTTTGCTATGGCAATTCTACACATTATTTGAAAATAATTGTAAGACTAATCATAACAAGACTGAAAACAATCTGCAAAAACATAATCAAGACTGTGTTAAGCTGTCTCCACTGACAAAAGGTACAAAATCAACTCAGAAACATGAAAGAGCCCCAGAACTGCTCAATTAGCAAGATGAGCTCCACAGAATGCACAGCAGAACTTTCATGCTGAAACATAAATGGATCTAGACGTTTTGTTGTTTTTTGGGTTTTTTTAACAAGTGAAATTTTCCAAATATAGCCAGTAAGAGAATTGCACCCCTGCAGAAAAGAATTCTGTTTCAGGCAGACTAAGGAAAACACACACTTTCCACATGACACTGATTAGTTGCTGGAATATTTGATTTGCAACACTCCTCCTCAACACAGCCCTCAAAACAAGACCGCATGTTTCTGAGAAAGATGTCGGAGCTCAGAAGGAAGCCACAGGCCACGGGAAGGCAGGGACAGAGGTGTCACAGCCTCTTTTTGTCCTCTTGGCTGAAATCAGATGAACTCAAAGTTCTATCACATTGATTTCACACTTGAGTTCTAAAACCTCTTGAATAAGCATATGAGAAACTCTGTAACAATATTTAATTAAGTTACAGAGGCAATGACCAAACTTCAGGCCTCATCAGTGTGAAAAGGGATGCTGCTGCTGCAGTGACTGAAAGGTGTGGCATCTGACACAAAGACAGGCAGGATGCTTGCGTTAGCTTCTGATGTGGAAAAAAATCAGACCCAGAGGGTGCCATCTTCAAACTCTGAAAACAAAAATTCTGACATTACTATATTTGTCCTTTTCAACTGCAGAAGTATTGATCCCTTTTGTCATGCAGACCTTAAAATTAGCATGGATCTGTTTATACTCATCCTTCTACTTATGTACTGAACCCATCAATGTCAGACAGCGTGCTGTTACACCAAGGGCACAGCCTGGCAGATCCCACCACGCCGCAAAATCAGAGTCAAAACAATTATCTACCCTAACAGGTATACGGGAACAGATGGAAAAAGGAAGATTAGTCACATATTGTGTCCGTTCTGTTTCCCTTTCAAACAGACAGCAAAGATTTCAGTTCTGAGCTGTCGGCTCATGGCCTAAACGATTAGGCAGAACTGTCTGTGACTGCAGTTAACACGATTATCAGAGAACCCGATACTCGCTTCCTGCAGGATACTGAGCAACTTTTTTCCATGCTCTATTTGTACGGCTCTGTTCAGTTCAGCCTAAAAACTATGTAAAATCACACTGCAGCACAACTGGCACCATCACGTGCTACAAAGCGCTGTATTTTAGGGAGCAATTAACATCAGTGCTAAAGGGCACTCAAATCAGCAAAGTTTTCGCATTGTGCTGAATGTTGTGGCTCCAGGTCGGCGTTCTCCTTTTCCCCTCCTCCTGAGATAGCTGTGCTATGTACTTCATTGTGCTGTGCAATTCACAGAAGTTATCAAATACAATGAATAACATCAAGCAGAGAAGAGAGGCTACAAAAGAATATTCCTATGCTCAAAAACTATTGCTACCTTCATGGCTGCGAAAAGATAGTATTTTTTAAAAATTGCTCTCTCATATTTTATGCTCAAAGAGCTTCTTCATGACCTGGCAGATTACAAATGCTTGAGGCAGAGACCTGGAATACATTTTTTCATGGGAAAACTGCCTACATTAATACGCCATTTTAAGTTTGTTTTGTTTGGGAATGAGTTAGTGCAGACTGTTTGTTTGATGGAAAGTTGCTAAGGAAATTAGCTGAAGCAAGAGATTTCCTAAAAATAAAACATTGTATTTTTTCATTGCAGAAGCCCTGCACTTTGTACACAGCCAAACCACTCATATATACGCATATAAAATAGAATAAAATAGAATAGATTTAGACATACACCATCTAAACATCAACCTTCACAATCCTTGCAATGCTTGGAGCATAGGATGGGAAGAAGAAAAACATTTCCATCTCTTTGCTGCCTTGAATCTTCAAGGGAGAGAGTATGAACTGACTCAATGACTTCTGACTTTAATCAACCTCAACTTTCCATGCCTTCGCTGTTAAAATTCAGATATTGCTATAAATCTGAAACTAGGAATTCTGCATGTTGGATTATCTACAGGTAAAGTATGAGCACAAGGCCAGGCAACCTTCAAGATTTTTCTTCTCAGCTTTTGAATCAAAATCAAAATTCACAAATAGCCGTTCCATTGGCAAAAAGAACCTGATCCAACCACATATTAATAATTTGTACATCAACAGTATGTAGCAACAGAGGAAAAGTGGGATACAAACTTTCACTCATTTATTAAAAATCAGCTATTTTTAAGTGTAGGTGAAAATAATGTTGTAGAAACCAACTGCATGCTACTTGTTCCCAAATGCACTCTACTTTAGTGACAACTGCCAAAACAATGAACATCCTCATCCTGAAAACTCAATTATTGCTACCCTAAAGTAAAGACTATAAAAGATCACAGCCAAAAATGACATCCAGGTAAAAAAGACAGCATCAGATTTCCTGGAAAATAACTATTTGCCAATTAAAACCACTGACAAATATGCAGAGAAAAAAAAAAAAAAAAAAAAAAAATCAAGGCAGGAGCAGTGTTGCTGAACATAACTGGCCCAAAAGCTGCCCATGTGAAACAGCCAGTAACCAACTCTGAGCTAAGCTTGCCAGAACTGCACAATCCCTGCTGTAGAACAAGTAGCTTTCTTGGAGTGGCTGCACTTAAGTCTTCTATGTTCTTACTCTGTTCTAAACTACTCTGTTATTTTTCCTGGCTCTATAGATTCACTGGAGACAACACCAAGAAAATAAACTATTACACATCACATTAATCTCTCATGTATTGGGCTTAAAAAAGCACTGGCAGAATGAAGGGCTTTCTTTCAAGCTTCATATTTATACAGAGGAAAAAAAAAAAAAAAAATCCTGCAAAAGGACATCCAAAAGATGCACCAGAGATCTCTTTGGAACAGCATGGTTTCATGTACATGTATAGACCTAAAACATACAAGAAATCCTATTATTATCAAAGAAAAAGCACTTTCAAAGGAACATTCACTTTTCTCTGCTTGATTTTCACATAAAAGCAAACACTTAAATCCCCCCTGACTTTCCTTTCTTCCTCCATAAACTAAGAAAACTGAATCCAGATGTCTAAAAGGCTCGAAAAGAAAAGACAGCAGAAGAGATCAAACCTTCCGACTGTATCAGTGTTCCTGAATGCAATTCAATTCATCAAAACCAGTTTTACACAATGGCCTGCCATTAAATATAAAATTCAGTGCAAATTTTATAGAGTTCTTTTTATTCAGTTGCCTATCAGTTTTAACTAGACTTTAACTACAAGATTCTCATCTTACTGGAAAGAACGTTTCAGTTAATTCCTTCACTCTCCAAACTACACAACATGTAAGTTATATACATTCCCAAGCCTTCATGCACAGAGTAAATGTCCTCTGTGGCATGGGTCAAGCAGGGTATCTTCTGGATGCAAACTTCCAGTATTCCAGTAATCATGAAAGGTTGCTTGCATTCCCAACATCCCCATTCTTTCAAGTATTTTGTTGTGTTGCAAATGATCTTTTCTTAGTTGGGGATGGAGATGGCCACAGAGTATCACGTCTGGCATTACAATTCATTAATTGCTGCAGAACATTATCAAACATTCATGAGATATCTATTATTCTGCTAAGGTCAAAGCCAAATAACACTCAATAAATATCTGTTATACAACTACAAACACCAACGTATGACAAACCAAAGGACAAATGTGTAGCCCAAGTTTCAAGAATCCACTTTCCATGGAAACTGCCTATAACACACAGGTAGTTCCCCACCACTTTAAGAAACAATGCTATTGGAGAAGCATTACCATTAGCTAAAACACTCTTTACTCCACAAAAACTTCAAAACGTACAATTTCAAATAAATAAATACTTTGCTTTTAATATTCAAAGGATAAGTCTGGAAATAATGAAAATGCATTACTATACCAAGTGGCTGGGATTATTTACAGTAACAACAGAGGTACCTATTTTGGTATTCTGTGTATTTTTACATATTATACAAGCACTCCACAAATAATGCCTCCTGTTTTATTATGGGCCCAAGACATCAGAGGCGGACGCTGGTGGTACACCAGTAGATGCCAAATCCCCCAGTCAATACTCCTTTATATTTGGTTGCTGTGTGACAAAAAGCAGCAGACAGGCATGACATGAAAGTGCACATGAAATAAAAGTGTGTCACTGAATGCAGAAAAAGCTGCAGCCATTGACATATCAATGCTTGGTAGTGGTGGTGCATTTCAGCAGCGGCAAGAGTAACAGCGGGTCACCTTCCCTGGTAAAGATTTAGGAAAGTGTAGTGTGCAGGCTTTTGTTCACCACTCGTGAAAATGCATAACCAATGGTGGTGGCTATGCTGAAAAATAGTGAAAAAGCAAATTCTCAACTACAAACAATGTTATTGTTTTTGTATCTGTTGTAGTTTCCATGGAAATAAGTAAAGGCACTACTTCCAGAGCAACCTGTGCACGTGATTGTGTGTGTGAGTATATATATATATATATATATATATAGACAGACATGAGCATTCAAGTATAAGTCATTCAGTGGGAAAATGTCACACCAGTAATTGTGAGTACTTGACTGCATGATGAGAAGCAGATTCTACCATAAACATTAATATTTCACAGCTAACTAAGAGAATAACATAAGGTGAGTTTTTTCACTTGATATTTTCATGAAAATGATCTCGGCTGTATAATGTAGTAGAAGGGCACAAGTATTTGAATGACTGTAAGCAATTAAAATTATTACAGTTATTTTTGTAAATGCCGTACATTTGCAAGAAAACCCATACTCAGAACAGTAATAAAGCCCGTATCAATAGTCCTAGCTCAACTTTTTTATTTGGGGAAGCCAATTCATGGATAGCCTACAGGACTTGGTGAAGGGTACCCAGGCGATAGTTTCAATAATCTCCTAAAATCAGCTCCAGATTTCCTTGCACCAGATCAAAAACACCTGGGCACATGATCTAGCCCAAACTCACTATACCAGCTCATATTCTGTATTTTCATATTTAGAGAATGTCATACCAACCCCACATGGTTAGGCACGTATCAGCTATTCACAAAGCAACGTGTCACAAGAACACGTGGTCTACCTGCACACCTATGGGACACCCAGGCTAATTTGACTAAGCCCATCCCATACACAGCGTGGGCGAGCCAGCAGAAGACACAGCACGTATTAATGCTCACAGTATTACCACTCTCCAAGTCAGAGGCAGGACCGCGGATCCCTGACCTGCGCACTCCCGGGCACATGGTGATAGCCAGCAAGCCACGACGCTTTGGGGTCCAGCTTACAGCTGTGGGCCACTAACACAAGCACTCCACCAGAGCCCTGACCAATCTCCCGTGTCTGCTGCACGGGCACAGCCCCCTCCCCTTCCACACCGCACCGCTCCATTCCAGCCCCTGAGATGGATGTGCCTCCTAGCTACGGGATGTGGGGCCGCCTCCCACCCCACAGCTTCCTTCCGCGTGTCCGCGCACGACGGCGCGGGGGACAGGCAGGCTGGGGAAGGGGCCGAGGCGAGGGGCCATCTTAGTCCCCTCGAGAAGATGGCGCTCTTCACAGCCCCCAGGGGTCGAGGGCGCAGCGAGAAGATGGCGTCCAAAGAAGGGGGAGGCGGCGAGGGGCCGCACGGCCGGGCTGCCGGGTACCTTTCAGGGCCTGGTGCATCCCCCCGATGCCGCTGTACAGCTCCAGCACTCGCAGAGCCGCCATGCCTCGGCGCACTGCACGGCCCTCCCGACCGCCTCCCCGAGTGCCGCCCGTCCGTTCCGCCGCTCTTTCGTTCCCCCCGCCCGCTCTCTTCCTTCCCGATCGCCGGCGGCTCCGTGCCAGCCCCAGAGGAGAGCTTCACTGTGGCACAGCTACTTGCTCATTAACCCTGCACAGGGGTTAGGCCCTGCGGACGAAGGCACCTTTTGGAACAGCCTGTCCCCTCACCCGTGCGGGTCTTCAGTGCCGGGGGGGCCTCATCGGCACGTCCCAAACCGCACAGGGTGGGCACGGGAAGAGAGGGGATAAGGGGTCCGGGAAAGGGCCGTGCTCACCAGCCTGGGATGGTGCCAGCCTGCTGTCCTGCTGGGCAGCTGATGCTGATGGTGCGTGGCAGTTCTGCGGGCCTCAGCAATTCTCCTTTTTATCTGCAGGAGTGAAGTTGCGTGCGGGGATGGTTTGAAAAGCGGTTTCAAAGCTGGTGAAATAGGAAGGAAGGAAATAACATGAAACTGTTCTAATTTGTCTTAAGGTTGTGAAATTGCTTTCCCTAGATTAAAGAAACGATTCAAAAGCATTGTTGCCCCTGAAAAACAGCCAGCTTGTAGCAATATGTGCCAGACAGATGCATTTGCATGTATACATAAAACCAAAGAGTAAATATCCTGCAGGGTAAAATGTGGATTACCTTCCTCCCACAAGCAAAAATACTTGCCTAGGCCCCAGTTCATGGATTTAGAGTCTAAAGTGAGAATGAAACCTGAAATAAATAACTTAAAAACCTGGATATGTTTCTTGAGTTACTTCTTAAGTTGATCACATTTTTTTTGGCACCTCCTAGAACCTGTCAAAAATAAGGTATATTTCTGGACTACTAAGCAGAAACATGATCCAAAGAATATTAGTTTTTGCCAGCTTCTTTTGAAAAAGTTCTGTCATTCCCTGTGAATCTTCACCATCAGAGTCAGGGGCTGTTGCTTTACCTGTCAGCCAAGGAAGTAATGACTAAGAAAAGAAACCCAAGGCCTACTTTGATTATGTCAGGAGGGAAGCAGCAGCTGAGATACCAAAGAGGAGAGCAGTATGCATTGCAGGAAGTGGTGAGACAGGTAGTTTGCACAAAGAGCAGATGGAGAACTGAGAAAGAGAGATGAATCACACAGCATAACAAAGCAGGGAATGTGCTGCCTAGAGAAAGTAGTCATCGGACAAAGATGGTGAGGAAAATTCTGCAGGTTGGGATTCAGGGTAAAAGTGGCTGTGATGAACAAGGTTGGTGTCTGCTAAAAAGATAAGCTTCAGTAGGAGCCCTTGAAAATATAGATAGGAGGTGAAGGTAAAGAGAAACACAGCTTTTAGACTACTGAAATTAGTGAAGTTGGTGAGTGGTTTTTATCTCCTTGTATCACTAATGCAGTGATTTATATACAATCTATATACACCACAGCAAAGCTAAATATCATAGTGAGCTATAGGCAGTCAGGAGCATTTCATCTATTTGGAGTTGCCCAATTCCCATAGCAATTAAAGCTACAGGACAAACATTTCCTTGTATCAGAAGGAGAGATAGAGTCGAGCTCTGTTTTTTCCTTCCCTTTCCCCAACTCCACAGTATTCTTGCAATTCGCATACAGTAAAGATGGAGACTGGTGAAGAAAGTTGATACCTCTGCCGTATTCATGTCAGTGGAAAATTCTTTCCTCAGGGGAAATTCTCTGCCTACCTCCTCCACCAGGCATCCTGTGTGTAGCAAACCGGAGAGTCTGTTCAGCACACCTCCACTCTGGCAACAAAGAAATTCATAGACTAGGCTAAGATCTTATTGGCTTAATCTTGCAAAGAATGGAAAACACCAACATTTCTCTTGTGCTCATTTTTAAACAACTTCCAGTAACCAGTTTAAGAATTCTCTGCCCTGGCTTAATATAATAAATAATTCTCCTTATTAATTGATAGCTATGAAAAAGACAACAATCAAAACAATCTGGAAACAATTACTTTTAGTATTCTTCACTTTATACATATACAGCCAGCATAATAATAGTCTTCTGACCAGACATTGCATAATAGAAATTAAGGTATGCTGCCAATTCCAGAGATTAGAGGAATGGCTGAGAAATACCAACATCAGCAATCACTCATACCTCCCTTCTCTCCAAAAAGGAGTCCACAGAGCAAGTGTGCCCTGTGGAAGTGATCATTGCTAAGAAAACTTGGTAACACATGTTGCCACCACTACAGAGCAGGCTAGGTTGTTGCTCACTCAGTCTTGTGGCCTGGCAACAGCCACATCACTGCAGAATTTCCCAACTGCATCTGTCTGACTAACAAAATTTGGGTGCTGTGACAGTTCCTTCTGTACTTTGTACACATAGGATGGATAGGATCCCCATAAATCCCAGCCAAAATTTAATTGACTAAAAGAAGAGATTAATAACAGTCAAGTCCAATGTCCACCTCTGGGCCTACTCTACTCTCAGTAAAGATTCTTTAAATTCTTTAAGACTTCAAAGGAAGAAGTTTGTCCTGTGACCCTTCTGATTTTGACTTCCTGATAAAAGGATTTCAGATTCTGCAGCTGTGTCTTAGCCTTCTTTAGCACATGCATAGGGTCTATTTCATATATCAGTTACACCTTAACAACATAGCTAGCTTTGAATAAAAACCAATAGGGTTTTGGAAAAAAATACGTTTATTTTAAATGAGCACATCTGTAGAACTATATTAATACAATGATCAAGCATTTATTTTCTTAACTTGAACGTATATTTTACTGTTAAAAACATTAAGTAAACTGATCATTCAAATTCCTTTAAAGCCAGTGACATCAGCATGCGATATCAGCATTTTCATTGAGACAGCTTTTGAAAGCTCCTGCCTCCTGGCAGCATCTACTCAGATTAGAAGCTTGCCCACATCTCTGATGGTTGTTATGATACAGGTAATCGTGTCAGATCTGAAACTGTTGTTCTGGTAACTAGTAAACTCATCCAGCGAAACAGATGCACGTGGTAAGAGGAACACGCAAGCAAAACCACTGCACTATTTTCTCTTCTTGCAATGCCTTAGAATTGCTAAAAGTGTTACAGTTACCAATGGTGCCAAACAGCATCATGAAAACATTAAAACAAACAAAAAAAAACATTACCTTGAGATTCCGTATTTCACTGCACTGGCAACTGGAACATGAAAAATTAAGAACTATGGCATCTCAGACCACGGTTGGAGTCAGCTCCTGCAGCCCTTCCCTGCCCTCCCACCTGCACGGAGCAGCAACTAACAGGCCAGCAAGGTGTCTGTCCACACCAGCCTGTGGGACGAAGCCTGACACTCCACAGTGCTCGTCACAGGGTTCTACTGATGCTAAAATGCTGGAGCTGTATAAGTTACTTAGTTTCCTATGGATGTGAGGCATGGTGGAAACTAGTGGATACATACTACAAAGCATTTGTGAGCATTTCCTCTACAGGCAAAAATGAAGAGAACAAGAAAAAAAAAAATCATTCTGCTGACACATCTGATGTTTAAAACTGCAAATACAGTCATCATCCAAAGCTGTAGTTGAAGCAAATATTGTTGGTGGCTGAACAAACAAGGCTTCTCGTGTCCCAGTGTCTCATATAACCTACTAAATACTTAAATGACGGTCAGGAAAAGTATACAGGCATCTCAGCTGTCTATAGGAGAGGCTCATGTTCTGGGTCAGAAATCACTGTGGCTAGGAAGGAATGCAAGGCATGACATACCCTTGCAATGCAATCACTGAATTGAAAAAAATTCATGGAGAATGTCTAGCATAAATTACTGTTTCCATAACCATTGGCCCAATATATTACTCATACTGGAAACCTTTTGCAATTAATTGAAATTGAGCTGTCTGGATGTAATGTTTCAGGAGGGACTTTATCAGACTTGGTTTGTGATGAAGTGACACTCAGTAAAGTTAGTTTCAGATACCAACACAGCGGAACCCTGTGCCAATATGGCAGTGAAGCCCACGGTTTGCATTTGTAATCCCACACATCTGCAAGACTAGAAGTGAAACCCACATTGAATTACATTTGTTAGACTCTCTCAGCCCACTTCTGAAAACTCCATAGACAGGGGAAATTTATGTAACTGAAATTATTTAGAAGAGTCAAACAAATATTAACATATTTTCAAATAGGTTATTGTCTACACTTCAAGATTTTATTTTCAGGCTTTGGAGATACAACTGACTCTATAAAGAATAGGAAGAAGTCATTGCTTCTCCAATGAATTCTTTGCTTTTCTGGTGAAAAAAATATAAATAAATCCAGCCTGTTTGTTATGGTTGGCCTGCAGTGGTAACCTTGGCTGGATGAGACGCATTATGTCAACATAGCATTGTTGACTTTCTTGTTGTACTTGCACATTCCAGCACTCTACCAAAAGAGAAGGATAAAAAAATGGCCAGTAGGCAATATAGACATGTACACTGAAAAAAATCTTCGCTGGACTGAACAAAACAGACTCTGAGCTCTACGAGGCCCACAGGGCCACAGAAGCTGGAGACAGCAGGCATGACACCAGGCAAAGGTGAAGGGGAAATCAGTTCAGCTACCCCCTCAGGATGCCTGTGGGGCAGGAGGAGATGGCAGCAGCATGCTCTCTCAGAGGAAAACTGATGAGGAAGAGAAATAGATGAGCGAAGATGTGCCTCTTACCTTTTTGCTTACAACAGGAGTTTTAATCTCCAGCATCCCAACACGGTGTGCACAGTATATAGCATACAGGGTGACAACCTGAGAAAGACTTGTAGCTCTATGTTGATTATGCCTTTGGTCTAAAACCCACCTGCTATCACTAGAGCTTTGTATACCACAGCCTTGCCTTCTTTTTTTTTTTTTTAAAAAAAAAAAAAAGAGAGAGAGAGAGAGAGTTCTCCCCTGCCCCAACTTCATTTTTTTCATTCATCCCCATGTAAGGAGATCTGTGACTAACTGGCAGAGGCACAGGAAATGATACGTCTTATGCAGGTAACCATGGCAGTTGGACTTC